ACCTCGTAAGATATTAATTCGAAATGATACTTGGTTAACCATAAGCAATAGTCACAGTAGAGCATTAAATGTCAGAATTCACTCCCAATGGCTCCACATGTATCTTTGGACTTTGCAGCAAATTTTTCAGAAGAAACTCATTACCAAGGTACATCTGACTTTGAGGAAACTACAGATGTTTGCTGAATGAAATTTGATTTCAAATGGTAATTTCAGGTCCCCATCCCCAGCAGAAGATGAAGGTAGACCTAGCAAAAGAACTAGGTCTCCATCTCCAGTGAAACTAAATACCAAACAGAAGAAAACTGATGTTAAAGAAGAGGAAATAACCATCATTGGAGAAGCAGATCAAGAATCTGAAAGGGTTTGTAACATTTCAGTCTCAAACTAACTGACTATTTGGTTCATGAGTATATTACAATATTGAGCATTAATATATCATGATGGGAATATATAGCAATAACATATATTTTTTACTTATTTCAAAACCAATTGTTGTTGTTTTTTCTATCTAAAATTTTAGATGTTACAAAAAACAAAAATTTCTCTAGAAAAAACCCTAGTCTTTAAGTTACTTGTTAAAATTGTGTAGATGTCTACCATATATCAGATTGTGGGGATATTTTGGTATATTTTATTCTGGCAGTATTACTAACAATATAAATTCTTATACCAGTATTTAATGTAATACCAGCCCTTCCTAGCTTATAAGTATTGTCTTGATTCGTATCAGGCCTTGCATTAAATTAATTAAAAGAAAAATATAGTTGAGGTAAAAGAAACTGCAAATAACAAAAAGAAAAATACTTCACCATCAAATGGCATATTTCCAATTTATATTTATGCAAAAAAAGTATTATTCATATGTAATTGAATTGAATTAGTTGCAGGATGGTTCCAAAGAAATCAGACTTGCAGATGGATTTTTAACCAGCAGGAAGCCATTAAAGGTAAGAAATCTTTGTTCATGTCTTGTTACTTCTAGAATCAGACAGTGGAGAATATAGAATATATAACTTGTTAATTGTAGAATCAAACTGTAAAGAAAGAAGAATATAATAATTATCTTCTAGAATCAGAGAGAATATATATCTTGTTTAATTGTAGAATCAGACATTGAAGAATAAAAAATGTACTTGTTACTTGTAGAATCAGACAGTGAAGAATGAAGAATGTTTATTTTGTTACTTTTAGAATCAGACAGTGAAGAATGAAAAATGTACTAATTATCTTGTTACTTCTAGAATCAGACAGTGAAGAATGAAGAATGTTTATTTTGTTACTTTTAGAATCAGACAGTGAAGAATGAAAAATGTACTAATTATCTTGTTACTTCTAGAATCAGACAGTGAAGAATGAAAAATGTACTAATTATCTTGTTACTTCTAGAATCAGACAGTGAAGAATGAAGAATGTTTATTTTGTTACTTTTAGAATCAGACAGTGAAGAATGAAAAATGTACTAATTATCTTGTTACTTCTAGAATCAGACAGTGAAGAATGAAAAATGTACTAATTATCTTGTTACTTCTAGAATCAGACAGTGAAGAATGAAGAATGTTTATTTTGTTACTTTTAGAATCAGACAGTGAAGAAAGAAAAATAAATATCTTGTTACTTATAGAATCAGACAGTGAAGAATGAAGAATATAGATACATGTATTATTAATTGTAGAATCAGACAGTGAAGAATGAAGAATATTTATACATGTATTATTAACTGTAGAATCAGAC